TAATAATAAAAAAATAGAAAAATAAAAGATAAAAATTTTAAGAGTAAAAAATAAAAAATAAAGAATTAAAAATAAAAAATAAAAAGAATTTTAAAAATTATTAATAAAAAGATTAAGAAAAAAATTAAAAATAAAAATAAATATAAAAATAATAAAAAGATTAAAAAATAATAATAAATAAATAAAATAAAAAAATAAAACAAAATAATAAAATAAATAAATAAAAATAATAAAAACATTTTAAAATAAAAATAAAGAAAATAAATAAATAAAAATAATAAAAAACATTTAAAAATAATAATAAAATAAAATAAAATAAAATAAACAAATAAATAAAATTAAATAAATAAATAAATAAAATTTTTAAATAAAATTAGAAAAAAATAAAAATTAAATTAAAAAAATTTTTAAATTTAAATTAAGAAATTTTAAAAAAATTAACTAAGAGCTAGATTGGTTTATTTATTTTAACCTTAGTGAAAAAATGTCAATCAATAGCTCATGCTTGCCCCCTCAATGTTTACATTCACCTAGTACATTATAAAACATTTAATGTAATACTCACCACTGCCAGTACAAAAGCAGTGACTTCCGTCTTATTAGGATAGACCACATTAACTCCCAATGTACCAACTAACGTCAGATTAACCATTTGCGGAGATATCTGGACCAATGGAGGCTTGACTGATATTATATTTAACTGCATCAGCATGTTGGGATAAGCATTAAAGAGCTATACAAAAATTAAAAATATAAATTAAATTTTAAAATGAAATAAAATTAAATTTAAAAATAGAAATAAAGTATCAATAAATGCATGGCAAAATTAATGTCCTTGTTAACACAATTTAAATTATTACCTGTGGAACAAGGAATTTGAATGAACTAGTGTTTAATGAAATTGGGAATGAGCTTGGGATCTAAAAAATAGACAGAGAAAATTATAACTACATGTATGTGGTCACAATATCTTAATAGTAAAAGTACAAAGTCCCAAGCATCAAAGACACTACTATAAGATTGTGGTTTATTTGTGATGCAAATGACTTCCTAGCAACTGTCATTTAATCCTCACCTGATCTGCAGTGATGTTATAAGCTAGTATCCCACTCTCCTGGTACACAAACCCAGCTGTATTGACCAGATACTCTGTAATCCACACATAGATCATCTTATCACTGGCATTAACCGGAGGAAGAGGATTAGGAGTGAAAGGGGCTTCAGATGGGTGTGCTATTAGGAAGAATTCTCCCTATAAAGACATCCAATGATTGACATATTGCAGTAAATATACCATACAACTCCAAATTTCGTCAGTCAAAAATTTTGTCAAATTTGTCAGGCATTTTTGCTTGACGAAAATTTTAATGGACAAAACTTTTGTTTCACGTGGGTAGCATGTGGATTTATAACAAAAATTTTAAAAATTTCCTTGGTAAAATTACTTTTTTAACAAGAAATTAACAAATTTTTGACTGACAAAAATTGGAGCTATTCGGTAATTACTTTGTGATCAGTTTCAATGTATGTTGATGTGAAAACGGGAACTTTGGTGAGGGAGTAATTGACTTCAGAGTAATCATCAACCTTTTCAACAACTATAAAAAGCAAAAATAACCTTTAAAATGTCCACATAAGCATAGCAATGTGTAATAATTTATGAAGCAACATCATGCACTGTAGTATTAGTCTGTATAGCTGAAAATATTGGTGGGAATTAATATTTGCAGATTGTCTCTAGTGAGCATTTTCCAATGTTATAACCTGCCATTTTGCCCAAGCTTTATTTTTAGCATGCTCAATCACAAGTCCATGGCTACTAAATTACTAATATAAGATTCACTAATTTTTAAAAATAGCCCGTAGAGCTATAGTCATGTATTCATATGTGTGTGTGTACAATACATGTAAATACCCTCTCTCTCTATCAAACAAAAATATATGTCAATATTGTGTTCTGACTGTATGGTGGGATGTAGGCCTGACCACACCCACTCCCCACGGCATATCTCAAGGGAGAACTTGTTCAGTACACTGTATAATGTGCTCAATCACAAGTGCCTACTAAATTGCTAATATAAAATTCACTAATTTTTAAAAAATTGCCAGTAGAGCTATTGCTACTTCTTATGATGAAGATTGAGAGTGTTGGCTACACACATACTTGGTAGTGTCTCTAGTGCGTGATTAGCCTCTTTGTTGATGGCATCAGTAGCAGCAGAACAGAGCTACATAAAGAGGAGAGAAAGACATAATAAAAACAGGACCACCAAGTAACTAATACCATTATTTATACTCTTGCTAATACACACTCACATATTTTTTAATATAGGATCATAGAACTAATTTAACATACACAATGATTTTAATTTCAAATATAGGATTAGAATTATAAATATTAATCATACATATGTGTTTATTCTCATACTTGTCCTTGTAAACTGCTTTTCAAAGAGTCAGCGATATTATCAGAGAAAAGATTATAAAGCCAGCTAGCTCCACCATGAAAAGTGACATGAAGTCCACCAATGGAAAACGAGCAACCGGTAGTCTTTAGTGTTGGATGACCACTTGAATCACTACCTAAAATAATAAATTAATATTTGAAGAAATTGTTAGATTGTCATTCCCTTACCAAGTACAGCACTGATAGTGATGGCTATACCATCAGCAGAAATATCAACTGACCCACTGTCACTAATACCAGGCCTGTGAAACAAAAAACATTACTCACTAGTTAGAAATTTTTAAAGAAATTTAAATTTGTTTACTGAAAGTAACCAGTAATGCAAAAGGCTTGGCAGTTGTTTCATATCATTGTTTTTGTTTATAAAAGCTCTCATTTTTCATAGTTATTTTAGCTTGATATACTAAACAAAACATTACCAATGTACACATCATAAAAATGATACACAATAGCCTCACCCTCACAAACATAGGTTGCTTTAAACTAAACATTATCAATTTAATGCAATGCATGCATTACATACCAGCTTTTCTGCTTATAGTGCCAATCAGCTTTTCCACTGACAGATACACTTGATAGGGCAATTGTGAGACCACTTGTACCAGGCTTCATTGAATAAGTTGGTATCTTGAGATTAGAGAGCTTTATACTAAAGAAACAGGAGAGAGAGAAAAGGAAAGAAAGTAGAGTAGTGATAGCACAACTCTTGCATAGTGTTTGTTTTTCAATGTGGCAGCAAGAAATAAAAAATAATAATAATCACTTTTTTAATTCATAGTCAATAGTACCAATAGGGCTGCTAGCAGATCCAGAAATGTCTGGTATGTCAATGTTAGACAACTGTTGCTCTAGTATCGGTATACCAGTCTCTATAACTACAGCAGAAATGAAAAAGTATATGAAACTGAAAGTTGTATTAAAATATTTATATAAAATGATATGATCAGGCAGCAAGCTCTTGTATGCATACATTGACAATTCATTACATGCTGCTTGAATAACTCAAATAATGCTGTCAGTGACTGTCATAAAGAAAGCTAGAGTGCCTATGCTACAGTCAGTGACAATTAAAATGTGACTAAACACAGTAATTAAGCTATAGGGTCGGTATGCAGGCTTAATTGATGCTGCATATCACATTACATATTAAATGACAAGATGCGTGCACTGTATACTGTTTAGTATCCCGTTAGTAGTGGCAATTCCCACTGGTTTCTTACCATAGTCCAGTCCTTTGCTTGTGATAGTTAAACGAAATCCCGGGTCTGCCCTTACAAAGGTTGTCATAAGCAGGATAAGAACGGTAGGAATTAGAGCGAGGACCCTGTTGCTGTTCATCCCTTCAAGTAAACTAAGAAAGAGGTTTGGAGAAAAGGTGACAGAGACGAGCTAGCTTGCTGCAGCAAGTTAATTAATAAGTGCTAATTAATGATAATGCTAATTAATTTTGTAGGGCGTGGCTGGAAGTGTCTGAAGTGATCACGTGATCTTGCTTTGGCTTGTAAAAACGGCTCTCGTGCAGCATAGATCTATGCATGCAGTGAGTTGCTTCACTGCCGAAGAGACAAGAAAAGGAGAGAGAGCCCGACACAGGGTCTTTTCTTAATAATTGGAGCTCGTGCCTTGTAAAAGAGTTCGGTGAGTAGCGGTTTGGCTCTTGCTTGCGTTCCACGAGGCAATGATCCCTGCACTAGCCTCCCAAGTTCACAACACCCTCTCTCTCGCTCTGTTTCTATCTAACTGGATCCAAGACTTAAACAAGGAGGAGTATTTAAAGAAAAATAAAGAGAAAATATTAAAAGATGGTAAGTAGCAATAGTATAATAATTATAATTATGATAGACCTAATAATTACAACTTGAGAGTTGATGGTTTTTTGTTATTATGCTTCCTCCTAAGCTGTCTGAACAATACCGCATGATTGCAGGGGAAAGACTAAAAATTAGTAATAATTAAAGTTGTTAGGCTAAACTTGAATGAATGGCAACTGCCCATTAGCTTGTATCATTTTATCATGTTACCAGGTATCATGTCACATATATGTACCATGTAGTCTAGCAAGGTATTTTATGCAGCTAAAATCTGGTGCTATGTGTTTTGGAATTTAATCAAAAGTTATTATCGTTGTCACATTTAATTGACATATTGATTGAAAGTAATTTAAAATTTCATAAGTACCTGCTAGATCCATGGTAGTTATGTTTAATTATCATCTAATCCATAATAAAGTGCATGCCCATACTTATATTGATAGGAAGAAGGCCAAGAGGAATCAGCAAAGTGCCAAATCAGTGTCATGATATTGCAAGACAACAGAGCAAAGAGGATAGACCCTGCTGTTATTCCTATGGTCAATGATACTGTTGCTAGCTAAAGAGCTCAAGGTGGTCATCTGACAGATCCTGATGAAACTTGGAGTTGACCCATCACCCAATCAGTCATGATAGAGAAAAGTCTAGAATCCGCCAACAGTCTTTTTCAGAAAAATTTCCGTCATTTGGCTTAATTTTTGATAACTTACTGAGTTAATGGTCAACCTCAACTTTTTCAGGAAGGGTTATTGTTTTACTTAAGTATTACAAATCGTCTTTTGAATAGCACATGAGAATTATTTTGTGTTTAATTTAAATTAATAATAAAGTTTAGATCATAGTCCAAAATTGAAATAAAGACAAAAGTTTAGGGGACATTATTGACAAACATAATTTGAGCAAAATTAACCAAAAGATGATAGGTCAATCTTTCAAAAAATAATGACAAATACATCTATTTGCTAGTTACTTATGCACCCACATAACTGATGCTAGAGATGCATTATACTGACCCGTGTGTCTTCCACTACCTATTTGACTTAAATTATTGTTTTAAAATTCACATACATGTAAATAACACATGTAAAATACATTTAGCTATATACATGTCAAACACGCCTACCCTATGCATGCTAACTACTGTATTCTAGCAATCATCATCAGTACAAATCACTCTAAAAATTAATTGTCTTGCACAGGTAGGATTATTACTTGCATACAAATCTTATTGAATTAATTAGTTAGTTTTATAAACTTGTTGCCAATGATTACAGGGTGTGGCTCAATTACAGATAGCTAGTTTTGCATTATAATGAAGTTATTATTATTGGAAATTAAAAATGAAAAATGCTGACAATGCATCAAGCTATTTTAAAATGAAATAAAACTTAAAATTGAAATGTCGAATGTTAAATTTTGGTTTTAAAAAAGAATAAATTTCAATAAATATAAAATGCTGACAATGCAAAAATCATTTTATAGTCATATAGCTTAAGTTGTAAATTTCAAATGGTGAATTAGGCTTTAAAATTTTAAAAATCCATTATTCAAAAAATGAAAATGCTAACATTGCAAAAAGCATTTTCTAATGATAGTAAAGTTATAAACAGGGGTGTAGCTGGGAAGAAAATGATGAGAGAGCGCAGGGATAAATGGCACGCAAAGCGTGCCGAAAATTTGGCCACACTTCTTTTTAGCGCTCGTATAGTGCACTAAAATAGCATTTTGTGTATTTTAAAGCATCAAAATCTTAAATTTTCAACAATAATTAATATAAAATGAATGTTTTGTTTCTGCCTACTTTTCATTTCTTGTACATTTACTGCTGTGCAATGTATTGTACATGATTACAAGGTGGTTAATTTATATTACTAGGTGGTAGGTAATAAAACAAACAATGAATATTATTATCTACAACAATTGATGGGGGGCCCAGGCCCCTGTAGGCCCCCCTCAGATACGCCCCTGGTTATAAATTTGAAATGCTGAGTTAGGTTTTAATATTTTTAAAAATTCAAATATTGAAAAAATGAAAATGTTGATATTGCAAAAAGCATTTTTCAATATAATGAAAATTTAAAATGTACTTTCCAATAATTCAGTTTACATATTCTATTGAGAATAAACATTAAAATATTGATTGGCCACTGGTCCAGAACAGAGCTACATAAAGAGGAGAGAAAGACATAATAAAAACAGGAACACTAAGTGACTAATATCATAATTTACTCATACTAATACACACTCAAGTATTTTTAAATATAGGATCATAGTACTAATTTAACATACACAATGATTTTAATTCCAAATATAGGATTAGAATTATAAATATTAATCATAGACGTGTTTATTCTCATACTTGTTTTTGTATGCTGCTTTCTAAAGAGTCAGCAATGTTATCAGAGAAAAGATTATAAAACCAGCTAGCTCCACCATGAAGAGTGACATGAAGTCCCCCAATGGAGAATGAGCAACCGGTAGTCTTTAGTGTTGGATGACCACTTGAATCACTTCCTAAAATAATAAATTAATATTTAAAGAAATTGTTAGATTGTCATTCCCTTACCAAGTACAGCACTGATAGTGATGGTTATACCATTAGCAGAAATATCAACTGATCCACTGTCACTAATACCAGGCCTGTGAAACAAAAAACATTACTCACTAGTTAGAAATTTTAAAAGAAATTTAAATTTGTTTACTGAAAGTAACCAGTAATGCAAAAGGCTTGGCAGTTGTTTTATATAATTGTTTTTGTTTATAAAAGCTCTCATTTTTCATAGTTATTTTAACTTGATATACTAAACAAAACATTACCAATGTACACATCATAAAAATGATACACAATAGCCTCACCCTCACAAACATAGGTTGCTTTAAACTAAACATTATCAGTTTAATGCAATGCATGGATTACATACCAGCTTTTCTGCTTATAGTGCCAATCAGCTTTTCCACTGACAGATACACTTGATAGGGAAATCGTGAGACCACTCGTACCAGGCTTCATCGAATAAGTTGGTATCTTGAGATTAGAGAGCTTTATACTAAAGAAACAGGAGAGAGAGAGAGAAAAGGAAAGAAAGTAAAGCAGTGATGGAACAACTCATAATGTTTGTTTTTGAATGTGGCAGCAAGAAATAAAAAATAATAATCACTTTTCTAATTCGTAAAAAATAGTACCAACAGGGCTTCTAGCAGATCCATAAATGTCTTTTATGTCAATGTTAGACAAATGTTGCTCTAGTATTGGTATGGCAGTCTTTATAACTGCAGCAGAAATGAAAAAGTATATATAAGTTGTATTAAAATGTTTTATAAAATGATATGATCAGGCAGGAAGCAAGCTCTTGTATGCATACATTGACAATTCATTACATGGTGCTTGAAGAACTCAAATAATTTTGTCACTGACTGTCATAAAGGAAACTAGAGTGCCTATGCTACAATCAATGACAATTAAAATGTGACTATACACAGTAATTAAGCTATAGGGTTGGTATGCAGGCTTAATTGATGCTGCATATCACATTACATATTATATAAATGACAAGATGCGTATCCCGTTAGTACTGGCAATTCCCACTGCCTTTTACCATAGTCCAGTCCTTTGCTTGTGACAGTTAAACGAAATCCCGGGTCTGCCTTTACAAAGGCTGTCATAAGCAGGATAAGAACGGTAGGAATTGGAGCGAGGACCCTGTTCATCCTTTCAAGTAAAAAAGAGATGAGCTAGCTTGCTGCAGCAAGTTAATTAATAAGTGCTAATTAATTAATGATAATGCTAATTAATTTTGTAGGGCGTGGCTGGAAGTGTCTGAAGTGATCACGTGATCTTGCTTTGGCTTGTAAAAACGGCTCTCATGCAGTGAGTTGCTTCACTGCCGAAGAGACAAGAAAAGGAGAGAGAGCCCGAGATAGGGTCTTTTCTTAATAATTGGAGCTCGTGCCTTGTAAAAGAGTTCGGTGAGTAGCAGTTTGGCTCTTGCTTGCGTTCCACGAGGCAATCCCTGCACTAGCCTCTTGACTCTGTTTATTTTGTTCTCTCCTAGCTCTTTTGTGTACATACCACAGACTTAGTAGCACCTTATCCTCTTACAACACCCTCTATCTCGCTCTGTTTCTATCTAACTGGATCCAAGACTTAAACAAGGAGGAGTATTTAAAGAAGAATAAAGACAAAATATTAAAAGATGGTAAGTAGCAATAGTAATAATTATAATTATGATAGACCTAGTAATTACAACTTGAGGAGTTGATGGTTTTTTGTTATTATGCTTCCTCTAAGCTGTCTGAACAATACACGCATGATTGCAGGGGAAAGACAAAAAATTAGTAATGATTAAAGTTGTTAGGCTAAACTTGAATGAATGGCAACTGAATGGCAACTGCCCGTTAGCTTGTACCACAATTCTATGCTTGTACTAAGTGGGTGATATTGTACTGCTTATCTACATCTTGGTCTGTATGGTAAGGAGGTCGTGGTTAGATAATCTCTCGACTTTGCGAATGCATGTGGTTATTTGCAGTATTTACAAGACGTGTCGTATTATAGATGTCGAATGAATTATTACTTTATGTGCTAATTAAAGTCAAGAGCTTTGTTTATCTACTGTTAGCTTTGGTTCCTTTTTCTCCCCTCTCTCCTTCCTTATCGTTGGATTGTTTTTCTGGACTTGTCCCTCTTTTGTCTCTAACTCTCTTTTGTTTCTTTCGTTGCTTTTCTTACCTACCTCTCTCTTTCTCTTTCTCCCCCCTCTCTCTCTGACTAACTCTCCATTCTCTCTCTCTCTTCCCCCCTCATGTCTTACTACAGTGTACATTATGCCTGCAATATTAAATTGAGGCATTGCTATGTAGTAAATCCTATAATTCAATTACACGGTCTAGTGAGGATTGATTCTTTCGATTGGCTACCACTGCATCATCCTGCCATGAGCATGATCTTTCCATTCCTGACATTTCCTTGATCATAAATTATACGTGTGCAATGTATCTAGTTTGTAATGAACCTTCTTGTGTTCATATTACATACACTTGAGTATTGTAAATGAATAGAATTATGTGTATACACGATACTTCATAATATTTATTGTTTTGAAATGAGCTTTGGTGCATTAATTTCCCTCTCTCTCTTTCTTTCCCCCCCTCTCCCTAATATTCATGATAATAATAACAGCATTATTATGACATCATTCATTAATCCTTTATTATCTACTGTACTTTAGCTTTAAGCTTTATTATTGGTTGATGACGTCATGTGATGTCATATTACTAAATAGATTAATTTTGTAGTTTGTTGTATTTTTCTCTAACATTCTTCTAATGTCTAGTCATGCTTGTGTGACTGTATAAAGAAACATGTTTCAAGAGAGAGAGGGGGGGAGGAGAGAGAGAGAGAGAGAGAGAGGGAGAGAGAGAGAGAGAGGGAGAGAGAGAGAGAGAGGGAGGGAGGGAGAGAGAAAAAAGAGAAAGAGAGAAGGAGGAAGGAAGTAAAGGAGGAAGAGAGGGAAAGAA